TAAAGAATGGCATATGCCTCTGTTCTCTCCTTATATAGTCCTGTTTTTTTGCTCAGGAAATGCCTCTTCCAAGGCATTTAGAGCTCTATTAGGGACTGTACAAAAAGACATGATCCCTGCCCCACTAAATGTCCTGATGGTGGTGATGAACATGAGATCAATCTAAGTAACAAGAAGAGATGAACATAAAGTTATTACAGAAGAAAATAAAAGTAGAGGACCTCCTAACAGGAAGAACGCAGATAAAAATCTGATCGTTTTATAACAGTGGTCACAAAAGTCATGGTTATTAAGCATTCTTCAGTTCAGGGGAAAGTGTCATAGCACTGGTTCACAGTTATCAGGACAGGTAGAATGCACATCTGATGGCAGCTGACCATTCCCAGCCCCAGTTGGCGACCAAAGCACACAAAGCCTAGATGGCCAGGAGCCAAACACCTGAGTAAGCCCAGTGACAGCTCTTTGTTCCTCTTGGGGTTTGAGGGGCCCTTGCTGGTCTGTGACCAGTCACTTCAAACTCAGGAGACTCATATACCTCCAACCTCCTCTTTTTCATTGTTCTCTGTGAACTCTTACAGTCAGCAGGTCTTGGCAAGGTCATTCAAGAACACAGTATCTTCTTACAAACTTCCACCAAGAGGAGATAGAGACTGCTTAGAAAAAGTAGAGTCGATGCCGTCCTCAGATCCTGTCCAGCAATGCTCTGCAGAGGCCACGTGTCTATGTCAAGTTCTGAGAGTCCCTCCTGAAACGAGATTCTCCCTTTTGTTCTCCCTGGAGACTGCAGATACTGCCATCATCTTGCATACTTCAACTTTTAAGACTGGAAGGTGGTCATACAGTCTCACTACTTTTCTCTCAAGGCCACATGTACTTCACTGAACCCCCAAGAAGATGGTTGGGTGGCATGGCCCCTATAGTCCCTACCTCACACCCATAGCCATCAGGGCTCATCCAAAGCTGCTTCTTAGAATCTAGACTCAGCCTCATCACTCACCTGGGCTCTAAAGAGCCATCACTGAGGTGTGATTATGTGTTACAAACCCTATTTGTCACCCTCACAACCTCAGATGTAATTTTTATCATAAGTACACTTTGGCATGATTGTGCAAACTTCCATCCCTTGTCATACAAGGTATGACACAGGCACTCATGCAAGCCCTTTACATGCATTGACTCCCGCAAGGCTTCCAAGGGCTCTATTTTTAGAGAAGTGAAGAGGCACAATGACTTTCGAGGTCATACCGAGACAGGATGCCCCAGAGAGGCTGGTTCCAGGGCCCATGCTCTTAATGGTTTCACTGTGGCATCTGGAACAGGCACAACACTCCAACTATTTCCGTGCATGTCAAGTCCACTCACCTCATCTCAACTGACAACTTTATACCGGGTGTTTCTCTTTGTCTGACTCAGGGCTGGGCACTGGGATGAGGTGAGGAGGAGGAATGTGGTTCCCACCAGCTGCAGGTTTGATTGAGGCCCTGCTGGGAGGCCCTTCCTAACCCAAGATCTTACTGGCCATTTTGTGACTTTTTGCAAAATATTAGTCTGTTCCAGCTGCAATACAGACCAAGTAGTTTAAACAGAAATATATTTCCCACAGTTCTAGAGAGTGAAAGTCCAAGGTGCCAGCAAGGTTAATTTCAGGAGAGGCCTCTCTTTCTGACTTACCAACAGTCACCTTCTCAACTTGTCCTCACATGCCCTTTCCTCTTTGTGCATGAGGGTAGACAGAGATCTCTAGTGTCTTCTTAGCTGGACACCAATCTTATCATATTAGGACCTTAGCCCTATGACCTAATTATCTCTTTACACACAAAATCTCCAAATAGTCACATGGAGGATGGCCATGTATTATGAAATGAATTGTGACATCCGCAAAATTCATGTAGAAGTCCTTGCCTCCAATATTACTGTTATATTGGCTATAACCAATATAAAAGCTGCAAGAGAGTTCACAGTGCTTTGGGAACAGATGACAGAGGGACCACATGCAGGCTGTGACTTTTCTGAAGAAGACACATCTGCAAGAGTTCTGAAATATATGTGAAAATCAACCATGCACAGGATAGGGACAGGCATCCTAGGCATCACAACAGCATGTGTAAGCCCCCCACCCACCCACAGTGAGGAAAAGCATGGCACAGAATGCTACCAAAATGAGTTCAGTAAGACAGAAGACTAATGGCGCTAGGGGCAGGGAGGGGTTATCCAAGGTCCTAGAGATGAGTCAAGAACTTGAGCCTTGATCCTGAAGGTACTGGCAGGCCACAGAGGGTGACAAGGTGGTTGGGATGCTGCTGTGAATTTACAACTGTATCCTTCTGCTGTGTACAATGGTGCAGACTCCCATGTGCAGCATGAACAGCACTTGGGATCTTGTTAGAAATTCAAATTCTTCCACCCCATCCCAGAGCTACCAGATCAGACACTGTCAGGAAGGGACCCAACCCCTAAGAGTCTCCCGTAGAGAGATTCCTTATGAGTGAAGAACAGCTTGTCGCTCAAATGTTTACCTCCATGCAGAATCAAAGCAAAAGGATGCGCTAGCCCTTGCTGATATCATTCACTCCCTCTACTTCCACACTCCACACTCAGTCCCCCACCAAACATCTTAGTTTCTTGTTCCTTCTAAACACTTTGTCATGACATTTTGGACACAAAATAGAGGATGGCCATTGTACTAAGCTTGAGAAAATCTGAAGGTACTGAGGAATGCTGGGGAAATGAGAGAAAATCATGAAAAATAAGACATCTAGACAAAATTCAAAAGACTCCGGCATGCTTGGCCTTCAGTGAATGTCACTGTGAGAAGCCACGGTGACAGTTTTCTAACACATTAAGAATGCACATAGGAGAGAAGCATCTGTTTTTCCACTCATCAGCGAGAGCAGAAGGAACAGAACTGTCTTATGTTTCAGCTGGGAAAAATACATGTCATGTGTCTGAGCCATTAGAGTTGGAGCTGCCAAGAGAGCTGCTGAGATCACCCTTGCCAGAGACCCCTGTGATGAGGTCACAGCCACTGGATTTCTATTTGGTAGAAAGACATGGAAGAGCACAGACCATGCCAGGTCTGATCCCTGTCAGGTTCCATGCAGGGTCTCCACATTGCTACAGTTGTATCTTGAATGTCCTCCCAAAGTCTCATGGGTTGAAGGCTTTGTCCCCAGCCAATTGTTGGTGCTACTGGGAGCTGGTGGAACCTTTGGGAGGTGAGGTCTAATAGGAAGAAGTTAGGTCATTCATTTGAGCCTTTCCTTGAAAGGATATTAGGACCTTACCCTCTTCCTGTCTCTCTCTTCAATCCCTGCTGCCATGAGATGAACAGTTTCCTACACCACATGCTCCCACCATGATGTGCTGTGTCACCACAGAGCCAACCAACCATGAACTAAAACCTCTGAAACTGTGAGTCAAAAGAAACTTCTCTCTTTCTATGTTTATTATCTCAGGCATTTTGTTACAGTAACAGACAGATGACTAATACACTGGTCAATTCCATTGCTTGAAAAGATCTGGATGGACAGAACAGGTGCTGATTCCAGGCTACTGTGGTTTGCTTTAGATACCCAGGAATCCAAGGAACTCTATACATCTCTGCAAAACATCTCAGATTCCCTATGAGGAGGCCAAGATTCCAGGCATGAGTCTCATGGGAAAGTTCATTTATTCCTTTCCCACAGTCAACTCCTGTCTATCCTGTCTCATAGTAGCAACAGCAACAAATAGCAACCACCACATTATTGACAGCTCTGAGCTACGGAGCTCCTCCTCTGTGCCACTGCTGCCCAATGCACCCCTTCACTCATGCCTCACCTTCATCACGAGATCCATTTTATAGATGAAGGAATGGAAGGTTAGAGAGAGAAGACTGACTTGCCCATGGCCCCACTGCTTGTCACATATGAGATGAGATTGGAGCTCAAGGTTCTCTGACTTCAGAACCCACCACCATCATCATGCCTGTTTTGCCAAGAACAAGGTATGCATGTCAGATGCCCAACAAGGAATTGATCAAATGTAGCCCCAAAGACCCTTGAGATCAGCAGGTGCTGGCCCCTGGATAATATTCACCAGAATGGGACCTTTGAAGAATCACCCATCTGTCTTCTCTCTTGGAGTTACCCCCACCACACTGTGCTAGATCTGGTGATTCTTAAAACCAAGTCTCTCCTGGAAGGCCCCTTGCTCCTGCTCCATCCACACTGCCCCGAACCTTGTCCTCCACAGCTCCACATAAGCTGTGGAGGACAAGGGATACTAGCAGTGTGAATATCCTCACACCATCACCAAGTTCACAACTGTCAAGGTGCAGAGCTTCTCAGAGACTTTTAATGCCACTAGCCAGTCTGTTTGCTAAACCCAACACTCTCCCCCTCCCCCAGAGGGAGGCTAGGTTGGGAATGTTTGAAGACCACCATGATTAGCGAGATACTATGTAGATACTGCTGTTACTGCATCAGACAACCCTGGTTTGTTTTTTCATCCCTGTTCTCTTCGATGAATTCTGGGATCCTTGCCTTCTCTCCTTTTGCCTCTTTCTAGAGTCGTGATGATGATTAAATCAGGTTCTATCACATACTTCAAGAACCTGTTTTCTTTAGTACTTGGATGCTGGCTGTGCTAGTGCTTCATCACCAGGTTTTCCATCAGACAGTTCCACTATGGGACCAGCTGAGCCACTCCTGACAGGTGACCTCAGAACCAAACACCTACCTTGCCCTATTGCAAAAGCCACCACAATACAAGCATGGGAATGGGGGCCATGGAGGGCATAAGGTCATGAGCTCAGTATGTGTGTTTACAGTGTCATATCCACACCCATCTGCAGGAAGAGCACCACTCTCAGAGGTTGAGTGCAAGGGCAGGCTGCCTATGAAGTATCCTTGGCCACATTACACCAACCACAACTTGAAAATCTCACCTGCTGACATTGTTACCCATTCCTGGAACACTCAGAATAAATTGTGAGGTCAATTAAAATCAGAGTCACCTACCTTTGTAGCACCCATAGCTTGAAAAGCCACTGCTAATCTTGAAGGGGTCAATGCTGCTAACATTGCATTGAATCTTGCGCTCTTGTTCTTAATAGGTGAGTGGTACTGTCCATCTGGAGCCACAAAACCAAACCTATGGGGAAATGGGGAAGCAGAATAGAAAAAGAGAGGCAGCATTTAACAAAAAAGAAAAACATGGCACCACCAGAAATGAAGTCAGGTGGCTCCTATGTGCACACAAAGAGAATCGCAGCTTTCTGCATCCTGAACCTTCTCCATGTGTACTTCTCCAGGAGATACTGAGAAAGGCTTGACTCATGAGATCTAAGAACAGATTTCCCATCACCAACAACCAGCAGCTCAGCAGTGTCCCCTAAGAATGAGGACTATCATCATTAAATGAACACCAGCACCTGAATGTGCAAACCATACTTTTTTTGAAATGAGATGTAATCCACATTCCAAGAATTTCCCCATTCAAGGTGTTCAACTGAGTGCCTTCCTAGTGAAAACAGAATGGTATTTCATTGTGATTTTGATTAGTAGTCTCCTAATGACAACTACAATGATCATTTCTCATGTGTTTATTACTAATTTAAATAACTTTTTGGAGAAATGTCTATTCAGATTTTTGCTCATTTTTAAATTGGGTTATTTGTCTTTGACTATTTCGTCATAATAACCTTCTATATCTAGATACCATACCCTTATGATATATTTGATTTACAAATATTTTCTCCCACTCTGTAAACTGTTTTTCATTTCTTCATAGTGTACTTTGATGCATAAAAGACTTTTTTTATTTTGATGAAGTCCAGTTTACCTGTTTTTCTTTGGTTAACTGTGCTTCTGATGTCACATCTAATAAATCATTGTCTAAATCAAGATCACAAAGACTTATACCTATGATCTCTTCTCAGAGTTGTATAGTTTTAGCTCCTCCTTTCAGGTATGTGATCATTTTGAGTTAATTTTGATATGTGGTATGAGGTAGGGTCCAATTTCATGCTTTTGCAGATAGATATTCAGTTGTTGCAGCACCATTGATTGAAAAGACTATTCTTTCCTCATTAAATTGTCCTGGTACTCTAGACAAATAATAACTGATCATAAATGTGAAGATTTATCTCTAAACTCTACTTTCCATTCTCTATATATCTATCCTTATGTAAATACCACATGATCTTGATTTACTATTGCTTTTAGTAAATTTTCAAATCACAAGTGTAAATTAATCTATTTTGTTCTTTATCAAGATTATTTTGGTTATTGTAGATTTCCTTACATTTCCATATACATTATTATTATAATCAGTTTATCAATTTCTGAAAAAAGAGTAGCTGAGATTTTGATAGGGATTGCACTGAATCCATGCATTCATACATCTATTTACTGGCCTACTTTTATCAAGTGATGAATTTGAGGAAGGGCTCCTCCCTCAAACCTCAAAATCCCTGTGTTGCCACTGTTGTTCGATAGTAATGGGGGGGAGTTTAAATATCAATGAACTGATATTAAAATCAAATCTTCCTTATCAGAGAAAGATATCTTCATATCTTCTACAATGTAATTCACTGTCATTCTTCTTTCTCATTTACTCTGACTTTATAATCTCAAGGGCATTGGATAAGCATTCAACATTGGTCAAGCCTCTGGGAAAGGACTGGCTAAGCCTCTAAGATCTCATTAGGATGATAGAAAATGGGGAGCTTCCCACTTGTGGCTTTCCTTTCTTCTTTCCCATTCCCCAGAGTGAGATGATGTTGACAAGTGCCTGGGAAATGTATAGTCACCTCTGAGTAGGGCTGATGGTTCTCAAACCTGCTTTCATGGGCACAGGTAGCTCCTGAGGGAGCCTGGGGGGGCTGTACCAAGATAATTGCAAAGATGCTTTTGTTGTTTCTGTTCTGTTTCCTACAAATCCATGGGGCGGGGGGCGGGGGGGAAGAAAAACACAATTTGGACCATTCTAAGTCTGTTTCCCATACAATTATCTTAAACTTTTGGCATCTCCTATCATATTTATCTACTGTCAAGAAATTACAGGCAACAAAAAGGAATAAAGTGTTCAAAGAAAATCTATGTGAAGGCAGGGTGACAACTGTTTATTTGTACCCCAATTGCTGGCTTTGCCAGAGATTTCAAATAGGACTATGGCTCGGAATTTTTATAGGACCCATGGAAAGCCACTGAGAAAATTAAAGGTAATTGGTGTTTCTTAGTCTCCACAGAAAAGCATCATTAACCTTTGAACCTCCATCCCTGGGACACACCTGAGAAAGCAACCTTTGCCTCCTTGGTAAACTCAACTTTACCTCACTCTGTGAGACTGTGGAAAATAACATTGAGAACCTTGAAATTATCCTTACAGGTAGTAGTGGTTTTAACAGCCTCCCAAGCTGAAGAGTGATGCCTGAATTTTTGCCACACACAAAGAAGGCAATAGCACTAGTTAGCTTATAATAGTTTTTGTTTTTAAAAAGCAATCAACCTAAATACCCCAAATAAGACATTGATAAAATAACTTGTATACCATTTATTCAACGGACTATTATGGAGCTATCAAAAATTATAACACCTATGTGTCTTTGTTGTTGTGTGAAAACATTTGGTATATAATGTTAAGTAGAAATTACACATTCTGAAAAATAGTATATGTAAGTGCTATTTTGTAAAACACTAATGTATGCTTCTCTTTATAGATATGCTGAAGAAAAGTGCAAAGAGGCATACATTAAAGTACAACAATCATTATGTCTGGGCAACAGTATATTGGATCATTTTCATTTTTTTTATTTGCTTGCCTAATTTTTCCAGTTAGCTATCAATAAACTTGTGTGGACAATTGCCGGGGGAGGGGGAGCAGTGTGTGATCACCTGGGCCTGCAGCCTCTGAGACCCAAAAACCAAGTCTAGCTTAAGAGAACAACTAGCTTACCTGCACGGTCATTAAAGAGAAAACTACTCACTTATCCAGTAGGTTCTCCCTTGGAATCCGAACCTTGTTAAATATTAAAATCCCATTATCCACACCATGCAGACCTAGAGAAAACAGAAATGAAATGCAGCTGAAAGAAAAATCTATGTCATATCAGAAATATTGGGCCTGCTACTCCCCAGGCCCATCTCCCCTACAAAAAAAGCCCTTTATTTTACTTCCAGAGTTGTTGATGCTCTTTTATATTGGATGCTCTTTTATTTGGAGCTGAGGGTGAGAATGTTGTCTGAGTCCTGTTTCTTGGACCTACCTGGTCCACTCCTCCCCAACTAGATTGGAAGACAATGTGCTTTTCCTTCTGTTCAACCCGTGTGCTCTGAGGCTGTGGTCCAGGGCCTGGTAGGAGCATATCTACCTCCCCATCAGCAACTGGTTTAAACAGAAAGAATGGAAAGCTGAAGACAGAGAGGGCAAGAAAGGCAGCTTACCATCCCCAGGAATGCAGAACTCAAATTCCTCCTCCCTCCCCTGCTTCCTTCTCAGGCACAGTATGAACCAGTGAAAGCAAATGCCACAAGACAAGGGAAGTGGCAACAGGACACAGGAGGTGGGGAGTGGTGTCTGAAAGGCTGTAAGATCTACTTCCTAAAGACACCTGTTGTCAGCCTCTGGGGTCTGCTTATTGTTCATAAAGACTTTGAGAGGTTTAATCTTGGAGAAAAGTGTTTTTCCAACAAGGTGATTGGACTTTGATCACAAGATAAAAGCAAGTGCACACAAGGGAGAGATAAGGATAGGTAAGACACCTAAAAAATTAGCTAGCATTTGTTGCCCTTAACGCAGAGAAACTAAAGCAGATACCTTAAAAGCAACTGAGGCCAATAGGAGAAGGGGACCAGGAACTAGAGAAAAGGTTAGATCAAAAAGAATTAACCTAGAAGGTAACAGACATGCACAGGAAATCAATGTGAGTAAACTCCCTGTATAGCTATCCTTATCTCAACTAGCAAAAACCCTTGTTCCTTCCTATTATTGCTTATACTCTCTCTTCAACAAAATTAGAGATAAGGGCAAAATAGTTTCTGCCGGGTATCAAGGGGGTAGAGGGGGAGAGGGAGGGGGCGGAGTGGGTGGTAAGGGAGGGGGGAGAAATGACCCAAGCATTGTATGCACATATGAATAATAAAACAATAAAAAAAAGAAAAGTGTTTTTCATAAAAGTCTTTATTTAGCACATCACCCCTTGACAAGGACACGCTTTCATTTCAGAATTGACAAGGAAACCAAAGCAGACTTTCTGCAGTTGCCAGTGTTTTCAACATCTGGCATGACTTCAGAAGTGCTGGCCTGCCCTTCTGTTCTCAGCAACACGTGAGGTGTTTTCACGGGGCCAGGGCCAGCAGAGGCCTTCATCCCACAAACCCCTACACACAACCCAGAAAATGCATTTAAAACTCTTGCAAACCCCCTGCACCAGAACCCACTGCTGTTGCAATGGTTAGTTAACCCAAAGTGTAGGGTGAGACTATCCTCTCCACAAAGTGACTGTCTTCTTCCCTCTTTCTTAACCTACTCTTTCTTCAATCTTTTTCTTTCGCTCCCAGATTTCTTTCTTTGGCTTGAATTGACCTTGCCCAAAGACAGTCACAAGTGTTGCCTGGTCTCCTAAGTCTCCCCCTCCAATTTACATGTTGAAGTCCTAACTCCTATATATATAAATGTGACCTAGTTTGGAGATAAAGACTTTACAGAGGTAATCAAGTTAAAAGGAGGATATGAGGGCAGGCCATAATATAAATGACTGATGTCTCCTTTGGAGACAGACATACCAACAGGGAGAATGCCAGTTAACATGAAGACAACATTTACAAGCCAAGTAGAGAGTCCTGGGCCACACCCTTCCTTCACCACCCTTAGAAGAACCAACCCTGCTGACACCTTGGTCATAGGCCACCTGAACTATGAGGAGACAGACTGCTGATGTTGAAGCCCCCAGTCAGTAGAATGCAGTCCTAGCATACTAAAGCCCTAAGTCAATCCTGAGGGCTCATCAAGGGCCCCATGGACATAACACCAAGATGGGAAAGGAAGCATGAGAGAGCCACAGACCACCTTCTGACAGCCCACAAGTCTAAGGAGAGAGACGAGAGAGAAGCAGAGCAGCATTCAGGGCCAGCTGCTCATTACTACGAAGTTGAAGCTGGGAGAAAATGGTGTCAATGCATATTCATTACTGGTAGTCTGGACTGGCAGAGTGGCTCAAGTGGTAGAGCACCTGCCTAGTAAGCACAAGGCCCTGAGGTCAACCCCCAAAACTGCCAAAAAAAAAAACAAAATGTAACTGGCAATCTGGTCTTTCTTTAAGATAAATTCAATTAGATTCTCCTCGACTGCAGTAGGAAGCAGACAGGAGGCACAAATGAGCACAAGAGAGGGTCATTGGAAACTCACCTTCCTTGTACATCATATCAATAGCTGTCACTCCTGGGTATAAGCTTCCGTTTTCATCCCAGACAGGAACAATGAAACAGTGGGGCCCTAAGGTAGGCATAGATACCCTTATTAAACTCTCCCTTCCAAAGATAAGAATAACCCTGTACTCATTTTCTGGAACAGTAGAAAATTATTCTGTTCATTCAGTTCTATGACTGTGCACTGCATGTAATAGTAAATAATATCAAAATGTAATGATAAATTTTGTCATCGTGTCTATTTAGAAAATAAAGTTAACACTGCATTTTTTACAAGATAAAAAACCTTGTGAAGCAGGCTTTTGGTTCAAATTGCTCACTGGAAACAGTAATAATAGCAAAGAGAATTCTTCTAATTTGCATGTTGGTGACAAACCTTGAGATCTTCCATTTATGATGAGCTGGGCAAAGACGGCTGCATAATTCCCACTCATGGCATTTCCGATGTACATCTTCTGGGCATTTTCACACGGTGTGTCAATTACAAATTCCTGCACAGAAACAGCAAAGCCACAGATTGTATACTCCCACCCCATATGGCTCACTTCAACTTCTTGGCTCAATGTAATGAATACTGTGAAAATAGATCTGCATCATGCCAACATTTCAGAGACAACAGCTCAACCTGTGCAGTCTGTCACCTCAATGCATATATTTTGTGTACACCTTGACTTCAAAAATGACTGGAAATTAAAATGGTTTCCATACATAATCTAATTGGAACAATAAATAGCCTATTTTCATTCATTCACTCCTTCCTGGTCTTTCTTTTTGTTAATATCAGGCTGATGTGTGCTTTTTGATTGAACCTGACTTGTTTTCATATATAAAGTTTCTTCAATTATCAACTTCTCTCTCCCCAGACTACTTCATACTGAGGTTTTAACTTTCAAAGAATCTAACACCAAAACCCCTACAATCCCTGGCAGCATATATTCAGCCATCCACACACCAGTCACCCCTAAACACCCCACCTGTGAGCCCCCTATGAAAGGAGGGAGCATCCAATGACCTGGGAACCTGGCAGGGTTGTTCCAGGGCCCACACCCTGTGTTTAATTGTCTTTACCCTATGGGCAGATCTCTTGGCTTTTGTGTCCTACACTGCTGCATGGGCCCTGGACATCCCCACATTCAGGATATGGGCCTTTGTTTAAACAGCAACCACCAACTAATAGGAGGCCAAAACCATGTGCTTGGGTTCAAGCTAGACTGATCGGTAACCTTGACCTATTCCCACCATTGCACCACCATTTTCCTGGCCAATGAATTTAGTAAGTAAAGGTTCCCCCAAAAAAGATTCATAACCTCATCCTATAAAACAGAAGCTCTGGTAAGTGAGTCCTCTATCTTATATGAAAAAGAATTTAGAATGTGCCATGCAGTTTATCTCCATAACATGGCCAGGATTCCAGCTCCAAACAGTCTGAAACCAACTCTGGCTCTAGTTGAGAAACAGGGAGACAATACAAGGTTTGTTTCAGACTCTGCTCAAAACCCAGTCTTCTTTTTCCTACTCTCCAGAAGTTGATACAAAAATCACAATAGAAATGCTGCCTTTCGTACCCTGGCTCTCCTCAGGGTTGCTCATCACATGGGTAACCCTTAAATCTCGTGCTAAGGAGGGACCAACCACACTGTCAACTCTGATGTACCTCTGATGCAGATGTACCTGCAGCACATCACAGAGCCCAGAGGAGATGCCAAAGAGCTGAACTGGACATTTAATTGAGTTGACAATATTGAAGATGTGGCTGAACTAAAGAAACAAGCTATTGATCACGTAGAGATTATCTCAGATTTCAGATTATAAAGTATATAGACTGTGCTTTCCCTCAGGCCAAGAAATACAGTTTTGTAGTCTAAGAAAACATTGTCTGACACATGTTTGTACGGAGAAACTTTTAACATGTGCAAGGGCTTTTCAGAATCGTACATACACAAGCTGAATCTTTTAAAGAGAAGTCTCTGGAGGCTGCCCTTGTCTTATCAGGCCAGCCAGGACTTCTCAAAGAGAGGAGGTATTTGAGGCTGGATGCAGTAAGAAACAACAACCTGTGTAGGAGGGAGAGGAAGGAGGGGAGCCAAGGAAATACAAGCCTGGCAGAGACAGCCTGGTGGGGCAGAAAAGAGAGCAAGAGGCCACAGGTCCCTGTACACATCTGATACACCCTGGGAAGGAGGTTTGTCACTTCTGGCAAGATGCTTGATGTGGAAAGTTTGCATCAGCCAAAATGCTAGAGTTAAAACTAAATCTAAATAACACACACCATGTGTGCGGGTTATAATTATTTATAGAAGGCCAGCAAAATGGTCAGTATTGCAAACACTAAAGAAAGAAACAAACGAACAAAAAAGGCTTTGGCCAGAGAGCTCATAACCTCATTTATTTTTGCTAGTTAGTAGAGAGTATAAAAATAAAACTGTCTACCTCTTAACTATCCATACCACTAGCTAACACCCTCATACACAAATAAAAACAAAGAAACCAACCCACAGAAATGAACTAGAAAAAAAAAAACTAAAAAAGATTTCATAGTTTTGGAGGGAAGGAAGGTTCATTTGATTTGCTTGAACATTTGAAAAGGGAAATGAACAAAGAACAAGAACTCAATGAAGGGGAAAATCCATTCCCTGCCATGTCAGTTCTCAGTGGTGTGAACCTATGGCAGGTTTGTTCTCTCCCCTACCCTCACGGGAGACACAGTGCTAACCAGAGTCTCCTCATCAACTCTGCAACTCCCCTGTCAGAAACTGGCAGCTGCTGAGATCTACCAGGTAACTAAATCATTTTATTCTGTTTGGGGAAAATGGGACCAACACAGGAAATTGTCTTGTGAAAAAAATAATTGTTAGAGGAAACAAATAAGTAAGAATTGTGGATGGGTTTCCTCCCCTTAGCACTAATAATGGCAAGGTGGCCTCAATATCATAGCTTGGGAAAGGAAAAAATTTGGCCAGCCAAAACCCAAAAAGATGTAAGGTAAATAAACCATCACTGGTAGGGAAGTCACACTGTTAAGGGCAGTTCCACTTGAACCTAATTCTCACTCATTAACTGCATAGTTATCGTCAGCTTCCTAATCTTTGTGAGCCTCAGTTTTTCCATCTGTAAAACAGGGACAGCACTATCTTTTATATGAGAATGGAATATTTGATATAAAGTTACATGTAGTGTGCTTAACTGGGTGTCTAGTACATATGTACTCATTTAACAGGAACCACTTAATGTCATGGTTAAGGGCTCAATGCTGGGAAGAAATACACAGCACCACACAGCAGACATTAGACACAAGGCATGACATGCAGTGAGTGTTCAGGGAATGGTGGTGCTTATTCTTGTTCTTACTATGACCTTGAACATCATTGGCTACTATAGAGAATTAACATTGGGGCAGAGGAAAAGCAGGACACCCTGCTTTTTTTTTTCCTCTGAATTTATCATTCTAAATACTGACCATCTCCAACTAGCATACATGAGTCAAGAAAACCTACTGTTAAAAATTCAGATTCTAAAGGGCAAACCCAATGAAAGTGAAGAATAGTCTGAGAACACCCTCTATGCAATGCCTGTACCCAAACTTCATACAGTACATCCCTATGCACATAAGTTTACCAAGATTCATTTCCAGAAAGAACCTCAAATTTTACTTATCCCTTTGTAGTTCTTAAGAATGCCTTATATCAAATAAAAAACTATAAAGGAGAATGAAATAAGTAAATAGTCGCTCTCTTTATTCAATGGGTAATAGTTGCCTAAGAGATCACAGACAGGAAGCTACAAAGCAGAGTTCTTACACTGTAGGTTGTGGCTCCTTATGGAGAGAGATGACGATTTAAAGAATCTTTTGGGGGACAGAGGTGTACTAATGATTGACCCCAAGGCCTTGAGCTTGCTAGGCAAATACTCTACCACTTGAACCACACCTCCAGACTAATTTAGAATATCTTGACCAACATATTTATTTAATTAGTAAGGGAGGAAAAGGAAGAATAACAAAGAGAAGTAAAAGAAAGGAATAAGAGAAAGAAATGGGAAGGAAAATAGCAGAGCTCATCACATGTAGTGAAAGGTAAAAAGGTAAGACTGTTTTGTGAAGCCTTTGTTTGAGTTGCCATGTAAAATCTTAGTACAAGTCATGGTTAAGAACACTGTGTAACATGGATGGCCCCTAGATCCATGAGTTCCACATCCCCAGATTCAAATAACTGAACATCTACAGACATTTTTATTATCATTGTTCCTAAAAAATACAGTTTAACAACTATTCAAATGGACTTTACATGTATTAGCTATATAAGCAATCTAGGGATGATTTAAAGTATACAGGCAGATAGATGTGCAAAGGTTCTATGCAAATACCATTTTATATAAGAGACTTAAGTATCCATGGTGGTTTCTGAAACCAATCCCCCATGGATACTGAGGGACAACTGTGCCAATAGGAAGGACTTGGCTCCTAATAAGGAAGCCTCAGCTCTGGGAGTGCTGCCATACGCAATAAAGAGTGCCAACAATGACATTTCCTCCAGTCCTTTACCTACTACTGTTAGGAAGGACAACCAATGGCACCAGTGCTGCTCTCACGGAACTGTTACCAGTATACTGGAAGTGCTATGTAACCATTGGCTAAACTTATGCCCACCTCTTAGATGACCAGCTTGAATCTGAGCTCCTTGGCCAGAGAGCACATGCAGAGGGTATAAAGCCGGGCTCAGAAAGAAAGAGAAACACTCTGGTCTATACAGCTCACCTGCTGCCTAAACCATGAAACGGGATCCTCACCTGAGCTGCAAGGTCAAAAGTGGCTTCCGTCTGGATCCCTCTCACGTTGCTTCCATGGCCCCTCCCAGTCATTGCAAACATCCCAGTGTATTTCTGCTCCTACTAGAAGAGAGTTAACTGGTCAGATAGTGTGTGACTGCAGTCCTCTCAGATCACTGAGAATGGTGGTGAGAAAGGGAAAGGCTGTTGGAGATAATTATAAAAATTCAGTCTGATAATACCTAATATGTGCTTAAGAGTAGGACAGACTCAACACAACATTTAAAAGATAGTCTTGAAATTCTCACTTGGAACAAGATTTTTTATCTGATTTTCTTCAAACACACACACACACACACACACACACACACAACTACCACAAATCCCTGTTGAAGAATCTATCTATTAAAGTATATGCCATACCTGGAGTGGTTGCAACCACTTGGTAACATGTCCGGGACTTCCAAGATTCCTGATTGTACCAGCAAATAGCCAATAAATCACTCCACACTAGAAACAAGGACAATGTAAGCCATTATTAGCAACAGTCAACAGTATTACAACAGTTAAACACACTGGCTACTTTACAGCTCCTTCCTGTGAAGTTTCAGCTCCTTGAACTTTAACAGGTCCTGAAAGTGACAATTTTCCATGCTTCTCCTCTTCACTGCCTGGCAAACTCTAGTTGTTCTCTGAAGACATAGCTCAAGGGTCCCTTTCTTAGAGAGACCACTCCAACTCCACAGAGAGTCAGTCTTCCATCCTCAGGACTGCCCAGTCCACACCATCAAATGACTCTCTGAACTTGTCTTCTGAAGACCTAGCTTAGTGCTGTTGTGTAGAAGACAGGCAACCAAGTGTTGGTGTGATAATCTGAGACTGATGATAACTGCAGAAGTGAGTCTTGCTATGATGGACAATCAGCAAACAGGGAAGGATAAGGGGAGAGGTGGTGCAGGTAAGCAGCCTACTAGTGACTGACTGAGATCTTGGACAAATGACAAAGATCCTCAGTTGCCTCAACCAACAAATGGAGTGAATACTGAGCACATCTATTTACTGAGTTCCACACATACGAGCTCATGATACTTACAACAAGCCTATGAGAAAAACATTGTCAAGCTCACTGACAGATGAGAATGCTGAGGTCCAGAGATGGAAGCCACTTGACCAAGGCCACACCTTGAGAAAGAGGAACGGGCTGAGCTACTTAATGCCTTCTAATGCTTCATAAGTTTACCACAAGGATTCAATGAGAGCCAACTGCCAAACATTTTTGCCTGGTCTTTTGTAAATCCTGGAAAAAGTGTTGCTGACAAGGAAGAAAAGGGAGAACAGAGGGAAACCAAAGAAAAAGATGAAGGAGGAGGAGGAAGAGGAAAAGGAAAGGAAGAAATGGGAAGGAGGAAGAAGAGGAGCAAGAAAGGAGGAGAAAGAAGAGGCATTTAGAATAGGGCCACTTGGAAGAAACACAGGCAACTGATTGCAAAAACAGAAGAACTCAAGTATACGGACATCTGCTGATCTACAGGTCTACATTCCTTCTTCCTCCTAGCCACACAACCCCAATTATCTTCTAGGGAGTTCTCCCTCCCTAGAATGAGTCCAAGTGGTTTGTGGATAATGTTGACACCACCTCCAGCTTTAGAATGAATCTGTGACCCACCCCCTGACCTCAAAAATGATTTTAGGTATGGACCTGTGACCTGGATGGGTCCATTCTGAGTGACTGCCAGGACAAATGGGTGGCCGCTGAGGAAGTGACGCTCTCATTTTTTGGTGCAGTGGAACCTGGAGGGACAGAAGCCTGGAGCTGCTGACAGCCATTATCAGCATGAGCTGGTGGGTGAAGCTAACATATGGGGGATGGGGTGAGAGGGGTCGAGTCCCCACACCCACATCTGAAGCCCACACCCTGAACTTTTTAATTGTGGCAATAAATGCCCTTTTTTGCTCAGACAAGTTTATACTGCACTTTTTTCTGGAATCACTGGCAATTGAGGGAGCCTCGTGTACCCCACATGTATGATCAACCTAGCATTAACTTCATAAAACGACATTTGATCAACTCTGTCAGCTCTGATCACCTAAACTACATGAGAACAAGCAAATTTCACGAATCACATGTAACACTGGAAGTGCTTTTCACTGGAGAATCCTAAAGTATCCTGGCGAGATGGTTAATACCCTGACTACTCAGCACTTCTCTCAGAAATCACTGAGGGCACTACAAATTGCATTACTAATTCCAGCATGGGAAAATGGAATCAGTCCAGAAAGTATGTGTTTTTCCTCTAAACCATCCTGAAAGTCAAGTTTTAAAAAACATTTTGCTTGAACTAAAACGAGTTGAATTTTCTACCTCTAAATCTCTGGCTGGTGGCTAATGCATCCTTTACAATAAATTCCTTTCTAGCTTTTAAATCCTTTCCTCCTTTTTTAGGAAGGAGGGGGGAAAATCTGGAGTGTTTCATCTGCATTTTGAAAGCTTCCATTCACTAGATATATTAGTAGGAGCCTGGGGCTGGATGAGTGAGCTTGTCAGTTTACAGGAAAATGTACCAGTTAAGAGAGGTGGCATCTGTGTGACCCCAATTCACACAATTCTTAAAATGTGAGGATTTTCCCTTACAAAAGCCACATCCTCAGAATGACAGGTAATCTGACCCAGTGGGGCCAAGTGCAAAGGGATTTCCTGGGGTTTCTAGGCAGGTGACATCTGGCCTGACATGCTTCCAGCAGGTGAATCCTGGGAGGGGCATGGCACCAGTCCAGACAGAAAACGGAATCAGGTAGGTAGTGATGGTGACAGCTCAGACTACAGTAGTCAACAGAGGGCAGTGGAGGAATCCAGGACAGAGTCTAGGGACCTAACTGATGGGTTGGATTTGGGAAGAGAAGGAAAGCGACTCCAGGAGACACCTGGTCTTTAACCTGAGTCACCAAGTGATCAGAGGTTCATCAATTGCAGTGAGGCAGCTTGGAGGAAGTGCCAGGAAGAATTGGAAGGAAACAGGATACTGAGACTAGCAAGAAAGGGGCATCCACCCAAAGGGGCATCCCCCCAAAGTGTCCTCCTGAAAGGGTAGTGTTTCCACTGCTATCATCACTACCCTGTGTCCAACTCCCAGCTGACCTCAGAAGACAGGACTCTGAGAGGTCCATTCACTCTGACACTCTGACACACTGGGAAAAGAAAGTAAAAGGGGAACACTGAATGAAAACCCTAACTTCAAACATGTGCCCAACTTGAATTGTTTGTTTAAGAATCCACCTCTCTCCTTTCTCACAATCCAGAGAAGAAAAAGGACAGCTGCAATATTGGGAGTATGAGGTAATGACCACAGTGTGCCCAGCAAGGGCAGGCAGTAGCTTCTGGAAGCCATAGCTGAAGATACCTAAGGGCTAGGAGCTGCCATCAGGACAAGCCAAAGGGGCCAAAAGATGAGCCTCAACAGAGCCTCTTAACATCCAAAAGGTACCCAGAAGGCAAGTTTGGTCAACTAAAGAAGGAATGTGCCAGGCAGTTTCACCTTAATTCACTAACAAATCCACTACCCAGAAGGCTGTTGAGAAGGGCTCATGGCCACATCTCAGGGGCTTCCAGTTACCACCACTTACCAAGCTCTTGCTACATGCCAAGTGGGTTATGAAGTTCCCCTTAGGCATTATCAATTTAAATATATACATGGCTTATGAATGAACATTAGAAGTGCCATCTTTACAGAAGAGAAAACTAAGGTCCATATATAGGAGGGAGCATGCCAGTACCATAACTAGAAGTTCTAGAGACAGAAAGTGAGCCCACACTGTTCTATACAAGGAACCATTGTTCTGCAGCAATGAATCATTGAGGTCCTTCACAAATGCAGGAACCCTGCCAGTGCTGCTGCTGTGATCAGCCAGGTGCTTCCTACACAGCAGCCCAGCAGAGATCTCCCAGGGTCTTTTCATCCCAAGAGCAAAAGGGAGACATTGAGGCACTGGAAGTGTTTTGTTGTTGTTGTTGTTTTCTTGAGACAATAGTGGCCCCAGAAAGGATAGAGTATAGATTGAATTCTGCTCCCCCTTCCCCAGTTTATGTTTTGAAGCCCTAACTTCCAATGTGATGGTATTTGGAGATGGGGCCTTTGGGAGGTAATTGGGGTTAGATGACATCTAACCCATGTGTGGGGTTAGTGTTCTTATGCACCTCTCGCTACAATGTGAGAACATAGCAAGAAGGTGGCCATCTACACACGAGGAAAGAAAGCCCTCACCAAGACCCAACCATGCCAGCACCCTGAATTTGAACTTTTCAGCCTCCAGAAATGTTGGAAATTGAACTTCTGATGTTTAAGCCCTGTATCCGTAGTATTTTGATGGGGCAGCCCAGCAGACAAAGACAGATAGTTGATTATTCAAGTAAGAAAAAGGGAAAGGCACTGTTGTGAAGAAGAAGGGAAGGAAGCATGTTTAATTTCTCTTGGCCTCCACGTCCTTCCACGTTGCATCTATGTTTTTGGCAGAAACCTTGGGCTGGGTCCCAAGCTAGAAAGGGAATTCAAAGTCCCCAGTGAAGAAAGTTCTTTTCCAAGCACCTCTTCATTGTTCCCACCCCATCACTGTGGGCAACTCTTAAGAGTCAGCCCCAGACCTGCCAACACTTGGCTGCCTGAGTACAACCATGTTTGTTGAGAGCACTCAGAAACATGGAGCCTCTAGAGGGACACAGACTTGGAAGGAGAGATAAAAGAGGCTCAGGCCGGGGGTAAAGATGACTTTCATGACTTGATGCAGACGCCCTTCTTTAGGAGGACAGCCAGCTCATGCTGGAACTCAGGCAGGAGCCACCAGTGGCTTTGGGACTGGTGGGGAGATCTGGAGATCCCCTGACCCACCCAGAGCTTATAGAATCTGTTCCCAGGGGCATGACTGTCTACCACTCACAGAAAAATTTGAGGCTGGACTTGGCACAATGCATGAGTTTCTCCAACTGTCTAGAATTTCCAAGCTCAGGAAGAAGTCTCCCACAATGACTGATGTGTGAGGAAGCAAAGTCAATTATTTTAGATTAAGGGTTTTTTCATTGTGGTAAAAAATATATACACCATAAAGTTTGCCATTTTAACCATTTTTAAGTGTACAGCACAGTGGTATTAAGTACATTTGCAATGTTATACAACCACCACCTCTAAAAACTTTCTCATTGTCTCAAACAGAAACTCTGCACCTGTATAGCAATAACTCCCATTCTCCCCTCCCCCAGCCTTCTAATCTGCCTTCTGTCTCTGAATCTGCTTATTTTATATATTTCATATAGATGTGTGCAAACAGCATTTATCCTTTTGTGCCTGGCTTATTTCACTTACCATAATGTCCTCAAGGTTCATTCATGTATAGCATGTATTAGAATTTCATTCCTTTTTATGGCTGAATAATAGTCCATTGTGTTCATTCACTACATATTTGGGGAGGGAGTACTGCAGTTTGAACTCAGGACCTTGTGCTTTCCAGACAGGTGCTGTACCACTTGAACCACACCTTCAGTCCTTTTTGCTTTAGTTATTTTTCAGATGAGGCCTCACTTTTTCCCAGGGCCAGCCTTGGACCATGATTCTCTTCCCTATGCCTCCCACCATATCTGGGATCACAAATATATGCCACTTGTTTATTGAAATGGGGTCTCACCAACTTTTTGCCTGGGCTGGTCTTGAACTGTGATCCTCTCAATCTCTACTCCCAAGTAGCTGGGATTACATGGGTTTGACAACCTATATACTACATATTTTTGTCCATTCATCTATTGATTTGTTTCTACCTATAGGTATTATGAATAATGCTGCAATAAATACTGGTGTGCAAGTATTTATGGAGGACCTGTTTTCAATTCTTTGGGATATACTCTTAATTAGTGGAACTGCTGGGTCATATGATAATTCTATATTCTATGCTTACCTTTTAAGGAACCCCATACTGCTTTTATCCTATATATTCATTTAATACTCATTTGTTGACACCTATTATGTATCAAGAATGTAAAGACAATTAGTCTTCAAGAAGTTTGCCCCAGCCAGGCATGATGACTTATGCCTGTAATCAAAGCTACTCAGGAGGCCGAGATCAAGAGGACTGTGGTTCAAGGGCAGCCCAGGCAAACAATTAGTGAGACCCCATCTCAACCAATAAAAAGCTAGAAGTGGCAAGAGGAGTCTAAAAATAGGCCAAAAAAAAAAAAGAAGAAGAAGAAGGCCACTGTGGCAGCAAGGGTGACCAGAGCAGGATCATGGGATTGGAGGGTTCTTCTAAAGAACAGTGGGAAGGGCTTTTAAACAAAAGAGTGATGTGACCGAAGAAGCACTCTAAAAAACTAGTTCTTTAAATCTAATCATATTCCCTCTAGGATACTAAGGAGCAATTTAAAAAAAAATAAAATTATACTATAAATAATTTAAAACAAAATGGACAAGTAGACTGAACTCAATAGTGTCCAGTTCCTGGTCCATTTTGCATCATCTCCCCCAACCATCATAATCCACTTTCCTTTCCTACACCCCAGATTACATTGAAGTTTATCCCAAATATTATATCATTTCATCACTACACATTTCCTACACATCTATAAAAGACAAAGACTATTTTAAACATAAATCTAAAACCATTATACAACTTAAAAATACAATAGGAATTATCTAGTACTGCCAAAAGTTCACTGTTGAAATTTTCCCAGCTGACAGGTGATTTTTCTTTAGTTTGCTGTTTGAACCAGGATCTAAATAAGAACCCCGCATTAAAATGCTCCTTACATCTGCTTTAAACAGTAGATCACCCCTCCATTCATTCAAACATTCCCTGTAAAATTCTGTCCACTAGGCTTGGTGTAAGAACTTGGAGACCTGAAGAGAGGGTTCCCCACCCAGAGAACTACCATACCCTGAGAAGATATCACATGATCACAACCCACCAAAGCCTTGCTAAAGAGAAAACACCTGGGAACAGAAGGGTAGGAAACATGGTAACAGCAGAAACTGGGGATCATGAGTCTGGACCAGGATCCTCCAGTGTTTCTGAGACAGGGATCTATTTGTTACATCTTAGTTGACTGTCCTTCTCTCTGGAAGACACAGCCAACCTATCTGACTAAAATCACAGGGAAACTGGTCTCCCCAAAAGAACTGATGGTGGAAGCCCTCCTCACAGGATGATACTCACAGATTTAATTCTTACTCGTAGAAAACATCTACCCAGAACAGAATTAAATGCATCCTGGACTCACCACCAAATGACCTGGCTTCCTGCTACATCATTCTGTCTGCATGTTCTAGGTATAGTTTCTCCTCTTTGAAGACATCAGGATCCAATATTTGGATATGGGACTTGTTTTCAGAACCAGTGTTGACCAGGGAAGGAAGGGAGGGCCCAACGATTCCCTGGTGCTAGGAGACTTAAAGTGCTATAAGGGGCAGTGGCAGTCACAGCCACCTGAGCTATTCCATTCACCAGCCTTAGTGAGCTAGGACACACAAAGCAAGACCACAATGAGGTACCATTTTATACACCTTCGGTTGGCAAAAATGAGAAGTCTAGGAATTCCAAGTGTGGAAGACAATACATATCCATGGAATCTGATTACATGCTATTGATGGGAATGTGAATTGATACAATATCATTGCAGAATAGACTACGTTTTAACATGAAGCATCCATGTATCCTACAACTAGTAATTCCATTCCTTACCAACCATGTTCAACATCAGATATTGACAAGAGTATTCAAAGCAGCATTTTTCATATTATCAAATCCTGGAAACAACATGAGGAAATGAATGAACAAATTCTATGGTATATTCACACAAAGGAATATTATGCAGAAATCAAAATGAATCAACTTCCATGTCTATATTATTCTCAAAATGATAAAACTGATAAGACAGAGAAGAGATTAGTGTTCGCCAAAGGACAGAGGTGAGGTGGAAGCTGGATGCAACTCTAAAGGGGTGGCAACATGAAGATTATTTATAATGATGGATTAGTTCAGTGTCTTGATTGTGGAGTGATTGCTGAATCTATATATGGGGCCAAACTGCACAAAACTACATGCACACGCATATACACACAGCTGAATACATGTTAAAAAAAAAAGTGAAATCTGAACACACAATATACACCTGTTAAAAATGAGTAAAATATAAATAAGGTCTATATCCTGGCTTAACAGGGCTTTACCAATGTCAATTTCCTGTTTTTATATTGCATCACAGCTATACACCATTGGGGAAGACTGGATGAAGTGTTCACATGACTCTATATACCATTTTTGTAACTTTCTGTGTGCATTACTATTTCAAAATAAAAGTTTTTAATTTTCAAAATAAAGTTTTGAATTTTTGGAAGGGCAGTAAAGGGGTTTGAACTCAGGCTTCAGTGCTCATAAGGCAGACACTCTCCCACCTGAGCCATACCTTCAGTCCTTATTCTCTGGTGTTTTGGAGATGGAGTCTCGCTTTTTGCCCAGGCTGGCCTGGACCACAATCCTCCTATTTTATGCTACCTGCCATCACTGAGATGACTGGTGTGCACCACCACACCCAGCTTTTTTCCATTGAGATGGGGTCTCACAACATTTTTACCCTGGGCTGGCCTGGAACAGTAATCCTCTGAATCTCAGCCTCCCAAGTAGCTAGGATTACTGCTGCCAGGTTTAAAGAACATAGCGAATTGCGACAGTATAGATCAATCTTAGCAATGATATATAAGTAAAGAAAGTAAGTCACAAATGATTGATAGTTTTTATAAAATTAAAATAAATGAAAACAATCAATTGAGACAAATGCAATAGAAACTGCAAGAGAAGAAAAGCAAAGAAAATATGAAATCAGGACTGTGTATAATGGTGAAAGGGAAGGCAGGGGGATGTGTCATGAGGTGTGCCATTTTGCAGACACTTGCTCCAATAAATAGACTGAGAGCCCCCAGGAGTATCATTTCACTTCTTGCCATGCAAAGCAATCATGAGTTCTGGAAGGGTGGGGTGCCCAGAGCTTCTCACCTTCACACTTGTAGCCATGTCTGCTATGGAGAGCACTTCTCCTATGACAAGGCTTCGGCTGACAAAATTCTTTGTTTTCTCTGCCTAAAAACAGGACAGATACAATGTCAAGCTCTCCTGTAGTTTTGTGACCTTTGAAATCCAGATTTTCAAATAATTCATTTGTGTTACTTTTACAATAAAAGCAGTTTTTAAGTTAAGAAATTATCCCATGACTCCACTGAGGTAAATGTTTCATGTTTTTTCATTGTAACATTTTAGTCTCTGACCACTTATATGTGGTGTTTACAGACTCTTTTCTTATACAATAGAAGGCTGAATGCTCCCACATGCAGGCAGCCTGGTGACAGATGCCCCTCAGACCTTGCTTGGTCTTAACCAAGCTTGTGCCCTGCCCCTACACCCCCAGAATTCATTCCCACTGCAGGCTGGTGAGTCCCAAGATTCTGTTCAGCTTCTCTGATAAGTGTTCACACAATAATACTGACATGAAAAGAAAGAATGGGAAAGGCTCAGGAACATTCTAGACACAAGAAAAGCAGTATTCTTCACTTTCCATCCTAGCTATAGGCATCTCTGAGTTTTAATGATTTAAAAACCATGAGATCATGGTCATCCTTTATTGCTTGATTCTCTCTCACTGTACAAAACATCAACAAATTCCAAAGCTAGATGAGCACACTCTTTTCCACCAGTGAGAAATGACAGAGGGACAAGACACTGTCGTTTCATTATAAAAAGTCAGAGGCAGCCAACATTTCCTGAGAAAGTGGTGGTCGCTTGAGTGGACAAATTTTGATTGTTCACTGTTGGAATTAATGCTAGCTGTCCTCATTGAAAACTGGTGATTATTGCCCATATGTGCATATGTATACACATGTGCACGCATGTGTCTGCACATACGTGTTTGTGGATCCATGTGTGTATGCGTGTACATGCCTATCCATGTATACCTTGCGTGTATGCTATGTGTGTATGCGTATGTGCATGTGCATATATATATATGTGTGGATGTATGTATATACATATTGCATATGTGTGTGCACATGTGTCTCTGTGTCCATATGTGCATGCGTGTGTGCACTGCCCCATCAGCAGCAGGATGATAACCAAACCTCCTTGGATGATTCTCAGATTCCACATTGGCTTAAGCTTTTTCCCCAAACACAATCCATATTTTCCCCTCCCGTACATTTTTACAATGTTTCTCTCAAGCATTATTAATTTTATAAAACAGCAGACTGTCAAGACTTATGACTTGCATCATGGCTCCATCCCAATGCATCTTGTATTGATTATTTCCTAAAATATCTCCAGGCTGGAGCATAAACCATTGCATGGCTCCAGCTTGGGCTTACACTGGAGAGTCAGTCACCAGCAAATAATAAAAAACAACTGTAGCAGATATCTACAGACTATTTGAGAAAACAAGTGTCCTGTATTGCACAAATCTTTACAACAACCTTGGCCCCACATAAGAGATAGAAAAGTCCAGGCTCAGGTTGGTCAAGTGACTTGTCCAACCAGAATCACTTGGTAAGTGGCAGAGCAAGGGTCAGAAATCAGATCTTCAGGTTCATTATCTGAATGCCTCACCACCATCCTTCATTGCCCCTCTTTGCTAAGGACTCTGGGTGGTCCTGCCTTTATTGCTGATCTGCTCCTATTTTGTATCACAGCCTTGTCCCCAGAGAGTACCTAACATCAACCCTGTCAAGGTGTCCCCAGGTCATCTTGCAGAGAATCACTATGTCTGCAATCATCACAACAAACTTTTCCTTGCCTGAAACCAATCACTGTGCTTTAACTAAACCCATCAGGGATACATAAATCCCTCAGAATTTCCAACTGCTCATGGTTTTCTTCATATTTCATTTTTTTAATGTATATTATCAATGCAGGAGTATAATTTTGTCATTAATAGCATCCAACTGTGGTCATTTTTATGAGATTGGAATAAATTGCAAGCACATTTGTTGAATTTATCCATCTTAGAGCATGACAGATTGTTTATGATTATTATTTCCCCAGTCTCTGCATGAGACAGCAATATTTGCTATTAGATCTGATGAGAAATACCAATGAGTTTGCCATTCACTGATGTTGACTTTAGCATGCATTTGGACTGGTGTGTTTTCAAGATGTCAAACCAAAATTCCAAAACTGAAGCTAGGCTAAATTTGATTGACTGCCTTTCTGGCATATACTTCTAATGTCTTCTACATACATAAATTCTTTCTTCCTTCATTTCTGATTGGCTAATTGTTCTTAGTTAAGGAATATTGAATAGTGACAAGTTTCTCCTCTCATTGAATCAGTAGCACTAACTGAAATGTCTATACTGATCATAGTATGTCAACAATTGACGTGGTCTTTTCCACAAATGTTTTTGCAGTATTTCTACTGTATGAATAGTTGCCTTCATTTACATTTGAAATATTCCAACCAAACTCAATCTCCATATCATCAAGTAAGTTTGCAGTCATGTTAAATGATAATGACCCATAAATGCATGGAGAATATATTTGAACTTTTATTTTATCCTAAATTTCACCCCATGCTATTTATACTTCTGCTTTAAAAATTCAGTCACAAAAAGAAGGCAGATAATTTTTCTTAAAATTCTCCCCTTTACAGCACTTGATGTAGCAGACCTCTGAGATGTAATATTCTGTTACAAATTCTACAAAAGTTTTTGGCCATATAAACTCAGATGTTTCTAAAAGACATATTTCCTCAGTGAAAATCAACCTTATTCAGAATTGGTTGGGAGTGTATGGTCCTCTGAAAGTGGTCACACAGACCATTTTTCTCTCCATGGCCTGGGTCAGGTGTCCAGACAAGGATCCTGAGCAGAAGACGTTCCTTATGTTCATTTCTAAAATGAATCCCCAAATTGGCATACTTCGTCTACCTTCTTCTTTTTTTTTTTTACGGGTATTTGTTTTGAATTTTTTTATTTATTCATTTATTCATATGTGCATACATTGTTTGGGCCATTTCTCCCCCTTGCCCCCCGTGCCCTCCCTCTCTCCCCCCCCACCCCCTTGCTTCCAGGCAAAACCTGTTCTGCCCTTTTCTCCAATTTTCTTGGAGAAGACATAAGCAATAATAAGAAAGACATAGCGTTTTTCCTAGTTGAGATAAGGATAGCTATACAGAGAGATTCCTAGCATTGCTTCCATGCACAAGTGTATTACAACCCATTGACCATATTGACCTCTGTCATTTTAAGGTTATTGTATTACCTCCTCTGCAGTGGGGATATCAAACACTTTCAAGTTTTGGGTTTCCTACCTATCGCATTCCTCCCCTTAGCATGTGACCCAAGTTCAACAACATTGCTGCATTGCCTTAGATCTAAAGTCCGCATATGAGGGAGAACATACAATTTTTTGGTCTTCTGAGCCTGGCAAACCTCGCTCAGGATAATGTTCTCCAGTTTCATCCATTTACTTGTGAATGATAAGATTTCATTCTTCTTCATGGCTGAGTAAAACTCCATTGTGTATAAATACCACATTTTCTTAATCCGTTTGTCAGTAGTAAGGTATCTTGGCTGTTTCCAGAACTGGGCTATTGTGAATAGTGCTGCAATAAACATGGGTGTGCAGGTGCCTCTGGAGTAACCTGAGTCGCATTCCTTTGGGTATATCCCTAGGAGTGGGATTGCTGGATCATATGGCAAATCTATGTTCAGATTTTTAAGAAGCCTCCATATTGTTTTCCAGAGTGGTTGTACTAGCTTGCATTCCCACCAGCAGTGTACGAGGGTTCCTTTTTCCCCACATCCTAACTAACACTTGTTGTTGGTGATATTTTTGATGATAGCTATTCTAACAGAAGTGAGGTGGAATCTTAGTATGGTTTTAATTTGCATTTCCTTTATGGCCAGAGATGGTGAGCATTTTTTCATGTGTTTTTTGGCCATTTGAATTTCTTCTTTTGAGAAAGTTCCATTTAGTTCAGTTGCCCATTTCTTTATTGGTTCATTGATTTGGGGAGAGTTTAGTTTTTTGAGTTCCCTGTATATTCTGGTTATCAGTCCTTTGTCTGATGTATAGCTAGCAAATATTTCTCCCACTCAGTGGGTGGTCTTTTCAGTTTAGAGACCATTTCTTTTGTTGTGCAGAAGCTTTTTAATTTTATGTAGTCCCATTTGTCCATCCTTTCTCTTAGTTGCTGAGCTGCTGAGGTTCTATGGAGGAAGTCCTTGCCTATACCTATTGCTTCCAGAGTATTCCCTGCTGTCTCCTGACTTCAGAGTTTCGGGTCTGATATTAAAGTCCTTAATCCATTTTGTGTTGATACTAGGACAGGGTGATAAACATGAATCTAGTTTCAGTTTTTTGCAGATGGATAACCACTTTTCCCAGCAACATTTGTTGAAGAGGCTGTCTTTTCTCCATCATATGTTTTTGGCGCCTTTGTCAAAAATAAGGTGGGCATAGCTGTGTGGATTCATATCTGGGTCCTCTATTCTGTTCCACTGGCCTTCATGTCTGTTTTTGTGCCAGTATCATGCTGTTCTTATTGCTACTGCTTTGTAATATAGTTGGGTCAGGTATTGTGATGCCTCCAGCATGCTCTTTTTTGCTGAGTATTGCCTTGACTATTCGCAGTCTCTTGTGTTTCCAAATGAACTTTAGGCTAGATTTTTCAATCTCTGTGATGAATGTCATTGGGATTTTGATGGGAATTGCATTAAACATGTAGATTGCTTTTAGTAGTATAGCCATTTTTACTATGTTGATTCTACCAATCCATGAGTATGGGAGATCTCTCCACCTTCTGTAGTCTTTCTCGATCTTTCTTCAGGGGTTTGTAGTTCTCCTTGTAGAGTTCATTCACAACCTTTGTTAAGTTTATTCCTAAGTATTTGATTTTTTTGAGGCTATTGTAAATGGAATTGCTTCATATTCTTTCTCAATTTGTTCAATGTTGGTGTATGGAAAAGGTAATGATTTTTGTAAGTTGACTTTGTATTCTGCCACCTTGCTGTAGCTGTTTATGGTGTCTAGGAGTTTTGGGGTAGAGTTTTTTGGGTCTTTAAGATATAGGTTCATGTCGTCTGCAAATAGGGA